CAGGGCCCTCCCACTTGGCATCTTCTGCTGCTTTCCCAGGCGCATTAGCTGGGGCGGGACTGGAAGCCGAGCAGGCAGACTGTGAACCCGCCCTCTGCTCTGGGAGGCCGCACCACAACCAGGAGCTGAACCCGCTGTGCAGACGCTGCCCTGGGAAAGGTTTCCTCTCTCACACAGTCCTCTGCCTCTCTCAGGTCTCGGCCAAGTGAGGTTTGCGGGTGCGCGGTGTCAGGACGTCCTGCTGTGTCCCCCTCCTGCCATGGGGCAGGGTTTCCAGGACCTGCGGTGACGCCAGAGAGGCACTGCTGCCAGACCTCACCCAGCTCAGCCCAGCTCAGCAGCCCAGCCTCACTTGTGCCCTTCAGAGCCCAGAGCCTCCCCCTGAGAGGCCCTGAAGGCTGCCAGCCCCTCCTCTGCCTGTAGAGTGAGCTGTCTCTCTCCTTTACCTCCAGCCTTGTCCTCTGATTCTGATGGGCACTGCTGACGGGGATGGGATTTTCCCAGCAGAAAGAGCCTGGAGACAGCCAGAGGTCAGGGCTCCAGGCTCTCAGGGGCTTTGGAGCGCTCATGTGGCCCTGGGCCGGCGTGTGGGCGCCTGGACTCCTCGGGGCCTGTGGGAGTTCTTCCAGGCCCCCGTCCTCCACCCACTCCTCCAGGCTTTGCCGTCTCTGCCGCCTGCCCTGTGTGTTCTCCTTTGTCCCGGCAGCTGTGACTCGTGCTGGCGTCTCAGTGCTTGTACACACACGGTCATGGAGGTGACTCCAGCCCTGGGAGTGAGACAGGACAGCGGCTGCTCAGTCCCCGCCAGAGCCATCACCTGTCCCTCAACCCCAGTCCCCGGGAGCAGAGTCCACGTGGCCTCCCTGGCAGCAGGAGCTCTGCCGCCTCCCCCGGGGCTGCCTGAGGGCCGGCAGCGGGGCTGGGCTGGCAGTGGCTGAGTCCATGACCCCGCGCTCCCTGCCCACCTGAGAACCTGTTTGTCCCTTAAGTGCTCCTCGGTCATTGTAGATTTTACTTGATATTTTACAAAGCTCAGACAAATTTGATACTGACAATTTTACCCTTGGGTTAGTAGTTGGTTCAGTTAAAAATTTTATTTTTATCTTCAATTAATTAACTTCCATTTTTTATTTGAAAGGCTGACACACACAGCTAGAAAAAGACAGACAATAATAGATGAATGGAGAGAGATCTTCTATCTGCTGACTCACTCCCCAGAGGCAATAGCCAGGGCTGGGCCAGGCCAAAGCCAGGAGCCCAAACCTCAACCTGGGTCTCCTATGTGATGTCCCAGTGCTTGACCCATCCTCCACGCCTCCAAGGGTGTACACTAGCAGGAGGTGGACTGGGTGCCAAGCAGCCAGGACCCCTACACGCACTGCACTCAGGGTGCAGGTGTAACCAGTGTGACAGCTGCTGCTGCCAACAGCTGCCCTGACTTTATGTTTGATGGACACACAGTGGTTGTACATATTACAGGGTCCAGTGTGGACTCTCAGTGCGTGGATACATGTGTAAGGATCAAATCAAAGTCATTAGCAAACGGATCACCTAATCCCCCAGAGTCTCTCTGTGTAGAGAACATTCACCAACTGCTCTCAGCCTGTGACAGACGCTAGGTCCCTGTTCCCTCGGGGGCCTCCTGGGCCACAGCCCAGCAGAGCTGCTCCTCCTGCCCAGCTGTACCGGGGCCCCTCCTCCTGCCCTCCCTCTGCCCCTCTCAGCTCGGGGAGCCCCTGTTCTATTCTCCACATCCAGGGCCTCAGCTTTTCAGACGCCACAGGGAGTGAGCTCAGGGGGGCTTTGTCTCTGTTCAGGGCTCATTCAGTGACACCATGAGCCCCAGGTTCATCCTCCTGGCTGCAAACCCCAGGATTCTTCCTCTTAACCGGCTCAGCAGCGCCCCGCTGTGGACACACCCCCTGCTCTGTCTCCTCCGCCCTGGGCCTGAGGGTTGATTCCGTGTTCTTTATCGTGAACAGGGCTGCAGTGAACACGATGTGGAGACGTCTCCTTCTCTCCGGACCTCCCTCCCTGCGGCTGTGTGCCCAGTACTGGGATGGCTGGTCATGCCGTGGCTCTGTTTTTAATGATTCAGAAAGATTCTAGTTTTGATTCTTAAGGTCTTCCACCTACTTTTCTTATTGGCCACGCCCACAAACACTGTGCCTCTTTCTCCTGAGTCTTCACCAGCAGTTGATATCTTTCATTTTTAAAAGCATTTATTTATTTATTTGAAAGGCAGAGTTACAGAGAGGCTGAGGCAGAGAGAGTCTTCCACCTGCTGGTTCACTCCCTATATGGCCACAGTGGTCAGAGCTGTTCTGATATGAAGCCAGGAGCCAGGACCTTCCTCTAGGTCTCCCACGGGGCTTCAGTGGTCCAAGCACTTGGGCCGTCTTCTGCTGCTTTGCCAGGTGCATTAGCAGTGAGCTGGATCAGTAGAGGAGCAGCCAGGTTTCTAACCGGTGTCCTAATGGGATGCTAGCACTGCAGGCAGAGGCTTAACCTTCTGTACCACAGCGCCGGCCATGTAAGGGTCTAATTTTATGCTGCATGCGAATATCCAGTTTTCCCCTCACCATGTTGAAGAATTGTCCTATCTTCAGTGTGTGTTTTGGTATCCTTGTGAAAGAAAAATCAATGGATTTTTTTCTGGGCTTCCAATTATTTTCTGTGCCCATGTGTCTGTTCTCATGCCAGCACCATGCCATCCTGGTTATATAACTTAGTAGTGTGATCTTCAACGTGGTTATGTATGGGGCCAACGTTGTGGCGTTGCAGTTGAAGCCACCGCCTGCAGTGCTGGCATCCCGTGTGGGTTTTGGTTTGGGTCCTGGCTGCTCCACTTCTGATCCAGCTCCCTGCTAATGCACTGGGAAAGCAGCAGAGGGTGGCCAGAGTCCTTGGGCCCTGCACCCACGTGGGAGACCCAAAGAAAGTCCTGGGTCTTGGTTTCGGTTCAGCCCAACTCAGGCTGTGGCAGCCACTTATGGAGTAAACCAGCAGACAGAAGACCTTTCTCTCTCTCTCTCTCTCTCTCTCTCTCTCTCTCTCTCTCCCCCCACTCCCTGTCTGTAATTCTGCCTCTCAAATAAATACAAACCCTTTTTTAAAAAAGCAAATCCAGTGCATTAGACTTTCGGTATGGTCATGTCTGCATACAGCACTGGGAGCTGACAAAATGCACTGCCCCCCCCCCCATCACCCTGCCTGCCAGTCTAGAGTCCTGCTGGGGGGTGTGGCCTCCTGGGGAGCCTGGGGCTGACTGGGAACCTGACTCACTCCCACTGCCCAGCACCGAAAGAGTAGACCACCCAGCACATCCACTGCAGGAGAGGGGCGCAGACACAGCTGGAGAGAGGCTCAGAGTTGAGTGTGTGCCGCCTCCCACCTCAGAAACTCAGGAGAATCAGGGAGAGCACAGTGGGCAGGGATGGCTGCACTGTGGGCGGGGACAGCTACACTCAGTCCCTGCCAGAGGCTCCACCTCCCAGTGTGGGCCTGCTCAGGAACTTCTCAGTTACTAATTCCCAAGGGGAGGTCGAGGCCCGGCCTGTCGGTCCTGGTCCAGGTCTGGCTGAGAGTGTGGCCTGGGGACTACAGCGGCAAGACACCCTGGACACACGCAGACCTGCTCCCCCCAGATTGTCTGAATCCTCCCGGTGTCCCGGGGGCTCCTGCCCAGCAAGTCCAGGCCCCCAGTGCAGGACGTGGCCCCAGACCCGCGGCCAGCTCTGCCATGTGCTCACTCCGGTCACCGACGCTGCAGGGCCAGGGCTCGGGCCTGGGCCCTTCCTCTTCCCAGCCGCCCCCTCCCTTGGTGACTGCGTCTCTGCTCAGGACTGCAAACCCCATTCACAGGGTGCCCCTCCCTGTCTACTTCTCCAGCCTAGACGTTTCTCCTAACCCCATCCTGCGGCCCAGCTGCTGGCCCCACAGTGTCAGCCACACTCCCAGCAGACACCTGGGCTCCCAGGGCACCTGCATGGACGCCTTTGCCACCCCCTCCTCAGATGCCCCGCCCACTGTCGCCCCCTCTCCCAAGAGAAACCCCCTCCTCCTGCAGTCACGGCCTCCTTGACTGCCCTCTCTCAGCCCCTAGTGCAGCCCACGAGGCAGCGCCATGAGTCCATCTTCAGAAGGAGCCGGAAGCTCCTCTCCCACTCCTCCCACCCCGCCCCAGCGCGGTAGCCCCGTCCCCAGCCTGGGCTCTGCCTGGTCTCCTGACGTCCTACCTGCAGCCTTGCTGGCCTCTGCGCCCCACCCTTCCCCAGCAGCCACGCGGTCCTGTAAGGGAGCAGCTGAGCCACGCCCCTTCCTGCTCAGAGCTCTCCCAGCTCCCAGCTCACTTAGAGCAAGGGCAACACCCTGCCAGTGTGCACACGGCCTCCGTGCCAGTCGTGCCCCTGACCCAGCCTTCACAACCCCCTGCTCCTTGTTCCTGTAGTGTAGACACATGTGCACACACACACACACACACACACTCCTGCCCCAGGACATTTGCACTGTAGGTTCCCTGCCTGCAAAGGACTTGCCCCAGATGGCTTTGCAGATGACTCCTCATGTCCCTCAAATGTCTCCTCAAGGCCACTGTCTCAGAAGGGCCCACGCTGCCCCTGCCCAGTAAAAAGGCCTGTTCCCAGTCCCTCACAGCCTCTCTGGGCCACCTCCCCATCAACTAACCTCCACCCTGAGTGGTCTCCTTATTGCTCCATCACAAACCTGAGCTCAGGATACCCCGGACACAGAAGCCGTCCCTGCTGCGGGTACAAGGAACAGGACCTCCTGGGGCCGGGGCTGAGTCCGGTGAGCACAGGCGGGGGCGGGGGGGGGGGCACAGCTTCCACTGGAGACGAGGACGGGGCAGGGACCCGGGTGAGGAGCGACCACAGCGCCCGGATGGACTCAGCACCCAGGACACAGCACTGTCCTCACTCAGTGCCTCCCAGCCCCTCCCAGCCCCACCTGCAGCACACTCAGCAAAGCAAGCACACGGGTTCTGGATGGTTCTAGCACCTCTATTTATTTCTATTTATTTCCTCTCTCAAATTTTAGGAATCTCCTCATTTAATTAACTCATCCACACCAGATGACAGAATTGGAAAAATAAATCAGTGTTCAGACTGAATGGGGAAGGAGCTGCAGCGCAGTGCACGGGACCTGAGACAGGACGGAGACGCCCACACGGGCAGGGCGGGCCAGGCTCCCCTCCTCACACTGTGCCTGCTGCCCACACGTTCAAGGTGAGCCGGGCTCTGAGGACAGAGACGGGGACTGCACGAATCTGCATCGCTCAGTCCCACACAGGCCACTTCTCACGCTATAGAAAAATCCAGATAACAAGTTCACATGAGCAGTGCACACGGGGACATGAGCAGCCACCACCATGGCCCATTCAAGGAATCCCCAGACCCACGGTGTCCCCTCTGCCCCTCCCCCTCCCAAGCAGCCTCCAGGTCTCACCTTTCAGGGCATGAGAGAATCATCAGAGCCCTGGTCCCTGTGGCCACCTGGGGTGAACAAATCAGGGCTTGGTGAGGCCCACAGGGGCTGAGGCTGAGGGGGGAGCGTGGGGTGGGCGGGCAGCGTCTCCATGGGTTTCTCACTGTGGCAAGGGTCTCAGTGAACCCCACCACCACCACACCCCAGCACTTACCTGCAGCCGGAGGGTATTTTCCTCCTTTCCCATCTGTGAGAAGAAAACACCTTGTGAGAGGCCAGGGAGGAGGCAGGGCCTGAGCACCCACCTAGAGGAAGCCCAGAGCACTGGCTCATCCTACAGAAGCTTCCAGAACTGTGGCTGTGGGACAGGAGACCCCGCCCCTGGAGCCCTGTCCTCAGCTGGGGCCGCCCCCTGCTCTGGCTGCTGGCACTCAGCTCCCATCACCAGCACCAGCCCAGGAAAGATTCGTCCTTATCTTCCATGGTGCATTATGGAGAGCCCGCGTTACCACACAGGGCCTGGCCTGGGTGTGCAGATGGGTGTGGACTGCTTGTCCCATGAAGGGGGTGGGTGCACTTCTCCCTGACAGGAAGTCCCCCAGGGGACAGGAGACTCAGACCCCACCCTCCCCTCCCCTACCTGAGCTGAGCTTCCTCCTCATCATAACAGCGACACAGTTCCCAGGATCAGAAGAACTCCAAGAACTCCAGCAACAATTCCCACTATGAGCGCAGTGGGCTGAGCAGGAGGCTCTGAGAAGGGAAGGGGAGGTGAGGGGCTCTGACCCCAGGGCTCAGCCCTGCCCCTGCTGAAGGCCCCAGCAGGGCTCTGCCCTCCCCTCAGAGGCCCCGCCCCTCCTGCCCTCCTCACCCCATCTCAGGGTGAGGGGCTCAGGCAGCCCCTCGTGCTGCACACGGCACGTGTATCTCTGCTCCTCCCCAGAAGGCACCACCACAGCCGCCCACTTCTGGAAGGTTCCGTCGCCCCCAGGCCTGGTCTCCACGAGCTCCGTGTCCTGGGTCTGGTCCTCCCCATCCCGCTGCCAGGTCAGTGAGATCTCCGCGGGGTAGAAGCCCAGGGCCCAGCACCTCAGGGTGGCCTCGCGGTCAGAGGCGGGGTGGTGGGTCACGTGGGCTTTGGGCGGGTCTGAGGGAAAGATTTGGAAAGTTCAGGCACTTTGTGATCTTCATGGGACACGGGAGCAGCACTCACGGGACCATCCTGAGAATGGAGGGGACGACAGAGGTGGGGGAGGGATGCAGAACCCAGACCCTGCCTGCACATAGCATTGGGATGATCAATTCTTTGGAAAGTTCTAGAATCCAGCGATACAACCCAGGGTTTGAGTCTTTCAAGGGGAAGGAAAGGGATTTTGGTCTAAATCGGGCTGGAAGCCTAGAGACACCTGGAGTCAGACCTTTCCTCACAGTGCCCTGGGAGAGGTCTCAGCTGCCAGAACTCTGACGGAATCCAGGGCTCCGCTGAGGGTGACTTCTGGAATCTGTCCTTCCCTCAGACAGCCCGGGTTCCTCTACTGCCCTGAGAGAAGGGCGGGCCAAATTCTCAGGTGGATGCCTAGGACTCAGAGGTGAGGAGAGGCTGATTCCAGCAGAGACTCTGGTACCTGGGGTCAACCCTCCCCACGCAGCAGCCTGAGGCCGAGAACAGGCCTGGGAGAGGTCCCGGATCACAGAACCTTGGGGGAAGCCAGGGCACAGCTGAGGTGACTTCTGGAATCTCTGTCCCTCCCTCCTCAGACAGCCCGGGTCCCTCTACTGCCCTGAGAGAAGGGCAGGCACCAAATCAAGGGAGGCTTCTGCCCCCTAAGGTGAGGAAAGGCAGATTCGGGCCTGGGTCTCATTTCCTCCTCTCCCCCCCCCAGCTCCTGCCCCAGGGGAGGTCAGTGAGCGCGGCCTCTCCCAGCCCTGCGCACCTGCGCGCTGCAGTGTCTCCTTCCCCATCTCCAGGTATCTGCGCAGCCACTCCACGCACTCCCCTTCCAGGTAGGCCCTGCGGTGCTCAGCCACACCCGCCGACTCCCACTTGCGCTGGGTGATCTGCGCCGCCGCGTCCGCCGCGGTCCAGGAGCGCAGGTCCTCGTTCAGGGCGAGGTAGTCGGCGCCGTCATAGGCGTGCTGTTCATACCCGCGGAAGAAGCGCCCATCCGCCCAGACCTCGCAGCCAAACATAGTCTGGAAAGTGTGGGACCCTGGCCCCGCCCCGCGGTCAGCCCCGGCCACGGAGCTCCGCCCCCGCCCTGACCCACCCGCGGGGATTTCAGCCCAAACTGAAACCGAAACCCGTGAGTGTCCCGCGGGCTCCTCCTGGGCCGAGGGTCTCCGCGGGGCGCGCAGTCTGGAGGACCTCGGACCCGGAGACTCGGAGCCCCCTGGGCACCACGCGGAGAGGGGTCGCGAGGTGCGATCGGGCCCGGGTCACTCACCGGCCGCGCTCTGGTTGTAGTAGCCGCGCACGGTGTTCAGGTTCACGCGGTAGGTCTGAGCGTTGTCCTTGGAGATCTGAGTCTCTCGGTCCCAGTACCCCGGGTCCACCTGCCGCATCCACGCCGCCCGCGGCTCCACCCTCGGGTTCTCGGCGTCGCTGTCGAAGCGCGAGAACTGCGTATCGTCCACGTAGCCCACGGTGATGAAGCGCGGCTCCCCCAGGCCGGGCCGGGACACGGCGGTGTAGAAATAACTCATGGAGTGCAAGCCTGCGGGCGGGAGCAGCTAAGAACTGCCCGCCCCCCGCCAGCAGCGGGACGCCCGCGTTAGGTTGGGTGGGACCGGGTGGGAGGAAGGGGGGGGGGGTCGTGAGAAAAGAGGAGGCAGAGGGAGGGGGCTGGACAGCCATGGCCAAGTTGGAGGCGTCTGGGCCGGGGGATGAGGATTCACCACTCCCCCGGTGTCCTGTGTTCCCCGCCGCGCTGTCCCCACGCTCCTGCCCCACAGAGGCCGTTTCCATCCCGACCCCGCACTCACCCGCCCGGGTCTGGGTCAGGGTCAGGGCCCCCGCGAGCAGCAGGAGGAGGGTCCCAGGCGCCATTGAAACCGTCCTTGGGGCCTGAGGAGAATCTGAGGCCCTGCAGCTCCCCAGGGATTTTATAGCCGGGATCCTGCAGCGCTGATTGGCTCCTCTGGAAACCGGATGCCCAATGGGAGTGAGACCGGGGCCCGCGTCACGAGTGTCCAGGCAGAAGGACCCGACCCAGGTTGTGAAGTGGAAGTGAAACTCAGGGATGCGGGTACTCCCCGCCGCTCGGCTTCCCCGGCCCAGACCCGCCCTCGGACCGAGACCCTGAGCGCCACACCAGGACCTGGACTCAGCCCCGACCCCTGTCCTCCCGCGCTGCGTGATGTCGGCTCCCCGAGGCCGGGCAGCCTCTGACTGAGAAAACCCGGAGAGCCCCAGGCCGGCCTAGCCCCTCCCTTCCCTTCCCGGATCCCTGTCCTTGAGCTGTGCCTGCTCCTTACCTGTCCCCTGGACTCTTCTAGAGGAAAACTCACCTCCAGGGACCTTGCTGTGGGGAGTGAGGGGCCTGGGGAGGGCGGGAGGAGCGGTAGTGGTTTCGTCCTCAGTTCCCGGGGAGGGGGCCGCTGTGTGTGAGAGCCCCAGAGAGAGGAACCCGCGGAGCCCGGTCCTGTGGTTTATCAGCCACGTCTGCAGCATGCACTTTCCCACCTGAGTGATCAGGACCCTGGTCTGTGACAGAGGGCACCGTGGCCCCATCACACCTAAAAGTGTCCAACAGCATCGCCCCCAGAGCCCCAGGTCTGCTTTCCCAGATAATGTGGCTGTGCCCTGGTGACAGTCACCTCCCCCCCACCCCCATCCCTGAGCCTGTCTGTGGGAGTGCAGCACAGCTCAGCACCGGGTCCCTCCCCATCCACCAGATGAGGTCCAGGACCCCAGGGAAGCCTGACCCTGGGCAGTCCTGAGCCCCGCACTGCACTCACCTGTGATGAAGTTTACCTGATGAATCAAGAACAGGAAGAGGTAAACCACAGCACTGATAGCGTGGAGCTGTTCCCACCACGAGCTGTGAGAAGTCCCGTGTGACTGTGGTCTCTGAGAGGTCTCGGTGCTGTGTCCCCTCTTCTGTGGCAGTGTGAGGAGCCCGGTGCCTGTGTGATGCCATGGAGGGAGGTGGGTGGCAGACACTCTGATGCAGTGCTAGGCTGTCAGGTAAGGGGGCTGACACAGACCTGTGACACCTCCAGAGCCATGTGACACGGGGGCAGCCTGCTGAGTGACTAGTGGGGTGTAGGGGATGCAGTGGGGATGGGCTGGACCCAGGCATGATTGACACCCCAGGTGGGAGGGACCAGTCAGGAGATCCCATCACTCCCTCAGGAGGGCCCAGGAGGGGGTGTGGAGGTCAGGTTAGTCTCTGCCTAGGACGCCCCATTCCACAGCAGAGGGTTGGGTCTGAGTCTGGCTACTCTGCTGTGATCCAGCTTCCTGCTCGTGCAGCCTGGGAGGCAGCAGATGATGGCTCAGGGACTGGGCCCCTCCCAGGTCCATGGGAGACCCAGAGGGAGCTCCAGGTTCCTGGCTCCAGCGTGGCCCAACCTGGCTTTGTAGGTCTTTGAGGAGTGAACCAGAGGACAGAAGTTCTCTGTCCATCTCCCTGTCACTCTGCCTTTAAGAAATAAGTAGATAATAAAAGAACATGCAATTTAATAGTTATGAAATATTTGTTTATGGAATTTTACATTTAATAGTTTTACTCCCTGATAAAATGAAACAGTAGACACAGAAAGCTCAGTTTAAAGAATTGAGGAGGGGGGATGCTGTGCAGAGAAGCACTGAGGCACAATTTGTTCCTTAGTGTTTCAGCTAGAAGGTTCTACACATTTAGTCACCTCAAGGTTGCCACTGTTTGATACAGACAAAAAATATTCACTAGTGCTCATACATTACCTGCTATTATTTTATTTATTTATTTATTTATTTGTGAGAGTGAGGGAGACTAAGGACAGTGGCGGGGGGAGATCTCCCATGCACTGGTTCACTCCCCACGTGCTTGCAACGCCCAGGCTGTGCCAGATGGAAGTCAGGAGCCCAGAACTCAATCAAAGTCCCCCACGTGGGCAGCACAGACCCAAGCACTTGAGCAACCACCCTGCCCCCCAGGTGCTCCTCAGCAGGGACTGGGATTGGGAGTGGGGCCGTCACTCAGCCTCAAGGTCTCAGGCATCGCATGCAACAGCTTCACTGCCGCCCCAGTGCCCATTCCTCTGTGTTGTATTAAATATTATTTATTAGAGAGAGAGAGAGACTCATCCGGTTGGGCTAAAGAGGAGCAGATGAAATCCAGCCCAGGACTGCAGTGAGGGGGCAGGAGCCCAGTCCCTTGAGCCTGTGTCACTGCTCCCAGGGTCTGCATGGGCAGGAGGCTGGAGTCAGGAGCAGCAGCCTCTCAGCCCAGGCATCTGCTGTGGGGTGTGGGCGTCTCTACTGTGAGGCTAAATGCCCACCTGCTGCCCATTTGTATGAATCATCTCCATCCAAGCCTTGCACAGATTTTATTTGGGCCCTGATGTTTGCATTTAACCTGATTCACATAACGAGGCAACTATATTTTAGACAGCCCCAAAGAATACATTAAATTCTAAATGCATGGTGCCAGCATTGTGGAGTAGCAGGTTAAGCCTCTGGCTTTGACACTGGCTTCCCTTTTGGTTGTGTGTTAGAGTCCCAGTGCTCCATTTCCTGTCATTCTCCCTGCTAATGCACCTAGGAAACCACTGGTTCAAAATCTTTACCTCTGCCTCTTTCCCTCACTTCCATCTCAGCCCTTCCCCCATCACTTCTTCCTCTCCTTGTCATCCCCACCACTCCCTCATCCTGATCTGAGGCACCAGCACTGCCCTCTCCCCACCCAGGGACCATTCTTCCCAGGGCAGCAGCCCCTGGCTATTGCAAGTCAGCTGCTTCACTCCTGCCTGTCAAGCACTCCTGAGGGAGCATTGTGGTGGCGCTGTGAGTTCAGCCCCGACCTTGTACCCCAGGGCTGCTGAGTCCAGGCTGTCCTGCTGTTGATGCCTCTTCCTGCTGATGAACCTGGGAAAGTAGTGGAAGGTGGCCCAAGAGAATATCCACCCACTGGGTCACGTCCCAGATGGCTGCTGTGTCCTGGGCTGGATCATGGAGCCCACAACTCCAACCAGGTCTCTCATGTTGTTACAGGAGCCTTTCAGGGTCACAGGTGCACTAGCAGGGAGCTGGATGACAGCAGAGCAGTCGGGGTCACACAGGTGCTCTGATAGGGAAGCCTGGATTGCAGCTGGGAGCATAACTGGCTACGCACAGTGCCCGCCCCAGCCCTGCCTTTCAAATTAGTGAATAAATAAATCTTTAAACGTCCCACTCTAATGGCTCCATCTCATTTTAAGAAACCTCTGGAATGCAAGTCCCATAAACTCAGGGGCTCAGGGCTATTTTGGGCAAAGCTGTAATCCCAGCATCTGGAGTCACACCTGCTAACAACAGGCGATGAACTGAGTTTTTGAAAGAGTGACCTGATTATGTACAAATTAAATGCATCGTGTAAAAATCCTAAAAGGACAAGTACAAAAGCCATCAGGAAGTGTGTTTTGTATGTTTGTTTGTTTTTGACAGGCAGAGTGGACAGTGAGAGAGAGAGACAGAGAGAAAGGTCTTCCTTTGCCATTGGTTCACCCTCCAATGGCCGCCGCAGCCGACGCGCTGCGGCCGGCGCACCACGCTGATCCGAAGCAAGGAGCCAGGTGCTTCTCCTGGTCTCCCATGGGGTGCAGGGCCCAAGCACCTGGGCCATCCTCCACTGCACTCCGGGGCCACAGCAGAGAGCTGGCCTGGAAGAGGGGCAACCGGGACAGAATCCGGCGCCCCAACCGGAACTAGAACTCGGTGTGCCGGCGCCGCTAGGCGGAGGATTAGCCTGTTGAGCCGTGACGCCGGCCCATCAGGAAGGTTTTATTTCATGCAGTGAGTGCTCACACCAGTTCCCAAATTCGCTCTGGTGGAGACGATGCTTAGCTGGGGGACCTAGTACACCCCTGAGCCTGGGTGTCACCAGCGTCCTGTCACTGCATAACAGGTCACCACACACTGCACAGCCTGGGACAAGGCCTCTCGTTTGCTCACAGGTCCTGGGTCAGATTCCAGGCTGCCGTGCACGGGTTCTGGGGGTGGAGACCTCCTCCAAAATCTGCCCAACCTGTGGGCAGAATTCCATGCCTTACAGTTGGAGGACAGACGTCCTGTCTCTGTGACAGCTGTCAGGTGCAGCGCAGGGCGGCTGCTTCCACCCAAGTGCCCCCAGCCTCCTTTGCACCCCTGCCCTCCATAGTCAGTGCCCACAGCAGGGGAGTCGCTCACCTGAGCCCCTCCCACCATGGTCTCTTGCTTTTGTCTTTGTCACAACTCCTTCAATTCCTTCTACTCTTAAGGCCTCTAGTGATCACATTCTGTGTTCAGGTTGACATGTGTGTGGCTTTTTAAAAAGTTTTAGCTCCTGCCTATGAGGGAAAACTTGTGGTATTTGTCTTTCTATATCTGGCTGATTTCACTCAACATGACATCCTCCAGTTTCAACCATTTTGCTACAAATGACAGGATTTCATTCTTTTTTGATGGCTGAATAGTATTCTATCTCATGCAAGTACCACATTTTCTTTACCTACTCAGCTGATGATGGACGCCTTGGTTGAGTTCAACTCTTGGCTACCGTGAGTAGTGCTGCTGTAACACAGGGGTGCAGGTTACACGTTGATGCAGTGAGTTCTTGTCTTTGGGAATAGTAGTGGGATAGCTGGACCCTATGGAAATTCCATTTCTAGTTTCTAAAGAAATCCTCACACTGTTTCCCTCCATGGCTGCACTCATTCCCATTCCCACCAACATCATTGCCGTCATTTGTTAAAAACCAAACTAAACCAAACCAAACTATAGGGACCAGTGTTGTGGCATAGCAGGTAATTCTACCTCTTGCAGTGCTGGCATTCCATATGGGCACCAGCTCTAGTCCCAGCTGCTCTGCTTCCAATCCAATGCCCTGCTATGGCATGGGAAAGCAGTAGAAGATGGCCCAAGTCGTTGGGCCCTTGCATTGATGTGGGAGACCCAGAATAAGTTCCTGGCTCATGGCTT